GCAATCTTCAACGACTGACCTTCTTTCTGTGGTCGCTCGACGTGACAAAACACGCGTACGTACAAAACGAAATGTATGGACAAAAACGCATCAGGATGATTACGTATGATCATGTGCAATTAACACTGTCTGCTTTAAAATGCTTTAAAGCATACACGGCTTCTGATAAGCCAATATGGAAGCGATCACGGTTTGGTGATACACGAACGAAACGTCTTACCTCCGAATGTCTGTACGCGTGTGTGCTGCCACGTAGGACGTTAGATGTAAAGAGGGACCGGATGCCAACGCTTCATAGAGAATGAGGCATGATTTGGACAGCATCTCTGCCCCAGAGCGGAAGGTAGCGGTCAGCACATCTTGTTTCATGTCTGCAGCTGGGATCACACATGCATATCAAAAGTTCCAGTACAGTTTCGTAGATGGCCCCAGTTACAGTAATCCCGCATCAATATAAGGCGATGTTTTCCTCACCATAGTCGCGATGATTTGCCTGACTACGGTTGAGGGCACCAACAAAGCCGTCGGTGAAGCTTTTGCTGCCTACGCATTTCTGAACAACATCCAGTGAATAAACATGTTTGAAAATCTTCTTAAAGCTCATTTCTCGGTTGTATCGCAATAATGCGACAATAATTTCATAAGGAAACGCGTCAGCAATTAAATTTTACCATCCGCATTTCATAACCTCAACGATGGGTAGAGAATTCGTTGCCTCGACGTGGAAACGTTTGATTGGAATGAAAAGAAACTGAGTGCCTATTCGTTTGGTGATCAATTTTAGGCTAGTTATCCAACTGATATCTGATCGTATCAGTCGTGCCTTGTGCCCTTTCAACGGGTGAAAAAAAAACAAAACTTTAATGGCTGCCATCTCTTACACTACTTTGTTGGTCGCATCATCATTTTACATGACTACCTCACTGTACTCTCGGTCAGAAGTGTCTTGCTCTGAGGAGTACCAGTGGTCCTGTTTCACCTTTTGGCAACGTGGATCAATGAATCAATTTTACATTTCGTGAGTCCTGAAGACCGCGTCCTATTTGAGGTTAGAACCTTTAAGAAAAGAGTAATTTTCTGCCATTGTGCGGTCGATGTCCATTCAAGCCCCAGGAAGGGCGCCACTTGTCAATCCTTCGTTAGTGAAGCCCTCACTCTTGATGTCAGCAGTCAATTTAGTGTGCCTTCTCTGAAGGAATCTTGGCGAAGCAAAGATGCTCTCGCAAAACCAATGCCCCATGAGATGACACTCAGATGAGGTTACTGTGAACTACTCTAAATCATGGTTTGTAGTCTCGTCGTTGGAGACTTAGCCCCCCATGCTGAGCGGTCGAAAACAGTCGGTTGAAAAGACGAACCTAACGGCTACACTTTCCCTATGAATTGTGAAAAAAATGATCATAAATCGTGACCACCCAAATCTGATTCGGTCGTCACTGAAAATCGAAGCCACGTTGAACCTTTGTTGTTGTTTTCCGTAGCCTGTCCGTTGAGTAGTCAGCCAACCTCGACCCTCGACTTTAAGGAACGGACTACCTCAGCTGATGAGGGTTTGGCAAAACATGACTCGACAGCCCTCCCTCGTCTCGAAGTAAACTCTTTCTGGCATAACTACGCCATACGCCAGTATGCGGTCGCCGGGCGTCCACCGAAATCCAGCTGATGTCAGAAATTTCATACTAAACTAATAAATTATTTTTACGACCTCGTTCCGAGGAAAACCTTTTTTGGTAACGTGCATTTTTACGGACACTGCCAAGTGATTTGTCAAATGTAGACGATGGATTGTCGAAACATTTTCGGGTCACCGCCTTCTTCAGTCAAACGTCGACAGCAAGAGCCAGGTGGCGGCGCTGCAACAACAAAATGCGGGAAAAGTCCATTTCCTCTGTGATCGTCAGTAGTCGGAGATGACCACCTGCAAAAACCTAAAACTTACCATTTTAATTAGCATAAACTCGAGTGTAAGTTGCTAACATGAAAATAAGTATCAAACGGTATGGTAAAGACCATTTCGACGCGAACATAACCAGTAATGATTTATGAATCACCGTTGTTAAAGGCTATGTCTGTAATCACTGTCATGGCCAAAAAACTAGCGCCGTCAATCAACGAAATGAATGCTTATGTTTTATGTAAATAGCAAATAGAAACAGCGCATTTATCAATTGAATATGAATAAGTAATAAGCAGTTTTTCTAAAACGTTACCTCACAACGAACTCCATACGTTCCTTTAAATTTAATTCCTCGCAAACATTTCCTGCAGATAATATGATGTAGTAACGCAATGCCTAAGAGGTCGAGTTTGAACTCTGGTAATCCCAGGTTCAATTCCGGCGGAGGAACAGCCTTAGTCCCAACTATGAATTCCCACATATTGATTGAAACCGGGGCTGCTCAGTCGGGACTGAAAAGCCCCGGGTTCTAGCCCCGGTCGGTCAGGTAGCTCGCATTCATTCCGTCCAAGGTTGATTGATGAGTCAGACTCTGTGAGAAGTAAGCAAGAAACTTCACATATGCTCGTCACATTGCTACCTTTGATCCGTCATTAAAATGAGGCACTCCTCGCAGATGACATAAAGCTAGCTATAAGCGACCTCAGAATTAACTTCGCAAAAAGGCCACTATAAATGGTTCCATGATAAAAGCATAAGGAAGATCGATATTTCAACGGATATATGTTTCCTGTTTTTCAGACATATTTTTCCATGCAATTTTGAGGTCTCCTTTATCTGATGTGATCCCTTAACATTCTTGAGGGTTTCTGCTAAAGAGTAGGCAACTGATGGACCAGCAGCAAAAGTAACGTACAGTTAGCTGAGCAAAAAAGTGTCCTGTAGCCAACAGTTTGAAACAAATGAATAACGTCGACCTCCGCTCAGAAGAGTGATGATGACGTCATTGAACTAATCTGCGTAGCATAATTTCTCTAGATATACTGTGCTACCACCGGATTCATTTTCTCTCCAATTCCTGACATCATCGCCAACTATTTCTGGATGTTTGCCGGTCAAAGACTCGATGGCATTAGCAAACAGCCTCATGTTCTTTCGTTGGAGATTAATGTGAATTGTGGCACTCAATCCTTCAGTCAGATAATTTAGTCACAATATACTTCTCAAAGACAGACTGGCCAAACTCATGAAGGGCCACAGCAACCTTTGTTATAGTTTCAAGTTTCATGACAGAGCGTTATGGTTAAGGAAAATGTCCCCTGCTATCCCTGGATCTGAAATTTGTGATTTTCGGTCACCAAACAAATGAAAGTTTTTTACCATTTGGATGTAGATCCACAAATTATAAGTCGATGATGAGCAGCTACGGCACGTGCCATTTGGGCAGCCTTGCTTCATAGTCTTATGGTGCGGCACCCGGCACCCTTTACGTTTTAATGCCATCCACCAAGAGCGTCTTATTATTTTAAAGAATATGCTTGCACTCATGTGGTAAGCATAGCATAGTGTTTTCCTACTTGCTTCGTTCGCTACGAAGTAGTAATCGAATTTCTAATTCGGATGGATGAAAGACAACGATTCAACCAGCGTCCGAAACCAGGAATTTTTCATTATCCATTCAACGCTCTACCGTCTGAGCGGTTCCGGTCCAAGAGAGGGAAAGTGGTAGCTGAACTGCCGTATTTTTTGTCATTATCTTGTCGTTTGAGACTAACAAAGTTTTGTCGTCACATGGAGTTGTTTCGGCATGGAGTTATGATGCCTGACGTTCAGAAATGATCTCTCCAATTAACATTAGGCACCATGAATGAATTTGTTGGGAGAATCATCCTGAAGACCCTGCAGAAAAAGTCCAGGAGGACTCAGACACCGGTTCAAACGGACTCGCGCCATGAATGCCATTCTCTTTCGCAGACCCTCCTAAGCCTTACAAGACACTTATGATAAGATTACTACGGATTCTGTAACTCAAAATCATAGAGAAGAATTCGACCTGCTCCTGTTCCATCTCGCGAAGAGTTCAAAGGGAAGCAGTGTGCCGACTGCCATGGCACATCGCAGGATTCCCATGGGAAGAGGAGTAAACCGAGAGAATAGCATGTTTCTACAACATACTGTTCCAATTATAACCGCATTGCGCGAATCAGGCAAGTTTCGACTCTACCAAGACAATGCTTTAAATGTTCATCTTTGTGTACTCCATCGCAGATTGCTACCTGCTGATATAAACCATGAGAAAATCAGATGCCGAACAGTATGAATCCGTATTAATCGTAACAGGGGGCTCCGTCTCCTCCCCACATTCATTCCCTTCTACTGTATTCCTGAACACCCGTGGGTGCGTCGCTCAGATCGCCCCAATCAGCAAAGGTACAGAACACAGTCCTCAGTACAATGCCTAGACAAACGATGGCAACCAGGTGTCAATGGTAAGCACCACCTTCAAAGGAAGCAAATTGCTCTTGACACCTCAAGAACAACCGTATCCGTGGGAATGAATCTGATGCGTGTGGATGACAGGCCTTAACCGGATTTGGATGGATAAAATCGTTGTACTGATCTACGCCACTGTTTAAAAATGAAGCTTCTTCGTAATTGCAATTCATGGCACATATTTTCTTGCTATACATATTCTGAAAGTTCCACGGCAGGGGGTCTGATATTCCGCACAGAAATTAGGGCGTAACCAACTCATTCGGCAATATGTACATGTCTGTGATGTGTATGGTAGCGTTACTAACGTTCTCCGGCTATGTGACATAAGAGGCCTGGT